ATAGGAGGACCGATATTGCATTACAGTTAAGTAATCTTTTCTTTATTTCTAATGAGATTTTCTTGTTTCTTAATACTTTGCTTAGATTTAGAAAGGCATATTCATGCATTTTTTTTTTCAGTGGAGAAGAGCCCATGTATGAAATGTATGCACTGCATACTTTATATTTTTGGCAGGATAAATAATTTCTGTGTAATAAAAAATTAATTATTGATCATTTTTACTATCCTTTTGCACTTATGATAATTGCTTAAATCTTCCATTCCTTCATTTTTTTAATCATTTCATCCTATGTGAGGTGAAAATGGCACTAAGATGCAAGGGGTTACTGAGAATGAAAGAAAATGAGAAAACATTAGTGAGCAGAAAAGACAATAAAAGAATAGGATTCAGAAAGACAGAAGATTGTGATTGATACTACTTTTAAATTTTTTATGATCATAGTTGATAGGAAAGCAAGAAACCAGAAGAGATTTCCACAGATGAGAAGTGCGAGAGAAGAAACTATAAGAATAGAACTTACAGTGACCTCTAGCTATCTTAACAGTTAAATGATGAGATCTAGTTGCCAATCAAGTAGTACATTTTAATTCATGTGGTTGAGCTAACAATTACTGTAAAAATATTTATAGAAAAGGTACTGCAAATCTATGTTACGGCAGTGGGAAAGTGACTAAAGCCTAAATGCCAGGTCAGAACTAATAACATTGCAGATAAAATATAAAATATATATAAATATAAAATATATATATATTGGATAAAAAAATGTAGGAGTGCTGATAGGATATGACAAGTGCTTAATCAATGGTAATATGAAAAAAAATTTGAAAAACTGATTATTTCTTGGAGAGGTGTGTTTTTGAAGGCACATGAAAGCAACATTATGGTGGTGGGAAAGTGACTAAAGCCTAAATACCATTGATGGTAGAAGTGGTACAACAGAAAGATACTGAATACACTAACATTGCAGATTCTTCTTTGGATCAAGAATCTTGAGATATATTTGTAGGAATCACCAGACCTGATGTGGCAGCAATATTCAATGCATGGATGAATGGTAGATTTATAAATGCACAAGATGAATTCTGGCAAGAAAAATTGTCTGGTATGACACAGTGAACACACTTTCCCAGTAGCAGACCTAGAAATTGATTTCATCATTCCACTTCATGTCAGTGAAAGATTTGAGATCAAGAAGGCACAATGAGTTGCTCTCCTGGAGGTTGGCATAAACTATATTGATAGAAGGCAAAAATAGTTCTCTTATGTTATAATCTACTTCAAATTTGATCTCTTTCTGATTCACTCTACATCAAAACCTATTGGCTGGATGTAAATGCTAAGAAAGCAGAAATAAAAATAAAAAAATGTCGTTCTCTGCATCTGAGTAGCTATACAAAAATAGAAAAGGGAGCGAGACAAGTATGCGTCTTCTCCCCAAATTTATTCAACCTCTACAGCAACACTATCCTAAGAGAACTGGAAATTCTATCAGGATTTATTATTGATGGGTATAATTTTAGTAGTATAAGATAATGCAGATCACACTGTTTTGCTTACTGAGTCAAAAAGAAAATTAACAACCTCCTAGGCAGGATAGTATTAGAAGAAAGTGAGAAAAAAGGACTAACCATCAATTGCAAGAAGACAGAAAATATAACCATCTGCAAGAGAAAAAGCTCAATATACGAGTTACAAAATGGAGATCTAAACATCAAGCAGGTGAAGAAGTTTAAATATCTGGGAATTATTTTAACAGAGGATGGAAAATGTGACTATGAGATCCAAGATTCAACAGTAATTGGACTAATGAAAGGAGTAATTCTAAAAGCTAAGCAAGGTACTGAGAAATAGAAAAAAATTCTTAGAAACAAAGAAAAGAGTGCTGAATTGTTATGCAATATCCATCCTCTTTTATGGTAGTGAATGCTAGACAATCTCCTCACAGATGGGGAGAAAACTGGAGTTTGGCTGAAATGTTGCTCTAGAGAAAGATACTGAAAATTCCATGGACAGAGCAAGTAAGCAAAAAGGTAGTCTTAAAGAAAATAGCAGCAGAAAGAACATTTATACTTAGAATGAGGAAATGTTCCTTGGACATATAATGAGGAAAGATGGCTTGGAAAACTTAACTCTCACAGGACATATTGAGGGTAAGAGAAGTAAAGGAAGGCAGCTTGTATGAATGGATGGCAGAATGGGGAGTGGGAGCCTTAGTGTTATACCGGAACATACCTATTCTATTGTTAATAGACTCTCCTACAGATAATAAAAAGTAGTGTCAGTCGCCAGGGGGCTCAGTGGAGTTGGTGAGTCAGTCGATGTTGGACCTTAAAATATCAACCACCACAACTAGATTGCTGCGTCATTAACTATTATAACAAGTTCCTAATGTTTTGTATGCCGAACCTAATTTAGGACCGACTTAGTGATATACAAGCCTCCACTGTGAAAACTACAACACTTAGCAAAACCGCTAAGAGCCATAAGGGATAGGAAGTTGTGGAGGGCCATGATCGCTTATGTCCTGGAGGGATAAGACACATAGAAGATAGATATGAGCTATGTAAAATCTATGTAAGTTTAAATAAGGTGGAAGTCATTTTAAAAGTAACTTTTCTTACATGATTTTACCTTTGGCTGAGTGACAGTACTATATAATTTTTTTATACCAATGTTCACCCAATACAAAGCTCAAGAACCACTCAAGGTAGAGGGTTACAGCGTGGTGTTGTATGAGTGTAAGAAAAGGCAAGAAGTTCAGTTCATTGAGTTATGTAGGAAAGTTAAATCTGGACATGAAGAGGTCAAGATTGTAGTGATTGAGAAAACACCCGGACAAGAGTTAATTCCACAAAGCAGCAGCTTTTGGGAAGAAGATCTCCAAATGGAACTTACTTATTTCTAATGGAATATGAAAGGAATGGGGATGATTCACACTTGTGTACATGGTATGGCAGGTCCCAGTTGTAAAGGTCAGGGGTGGTGGGATGAAGGAATGTAGCTTGTCAGAACATTTACCATTGAAATAGTGACAGAGGAGCGAGAGTCCTGCAAAATTTCATCTGTGGGAAACGATTTGTAGGGTGGAAAATATTTCAGCACCCACAAGCCTTTGGAAACATTTTTACACTCTATTAAAACGGGCAAGTGAGGACGAGACAGCTCCAGCCAAGATATGATAGCAATGCTCCATTTTTGGTCTGATCTGGCTCTCAAAAAGATAATTATGTGACATTTTAAGTATTCCTAATTTGACAAAATCTTTTTTTTTTAATCATTTCACCCAAAGCAAGGCAATAAAACCACTAAGACACAAGAAGTTACTGAGTGTTATAAAGCAGTATTAATGAGAGAGATTAATAAAAGAACAAGAATATAGAAGACTGAAGATAACAATTAACATTGCATTTAAATTTTTGAAGATCAAATTTGACTGGGAAGCAAGAAGCTAGAAGAGACCTCCATAAGCATAAGTGTGAGAGAAGAAACTGTTAGCATTTGAACTTATGATTACATCTAGTCATTTCAACTATAAAATGATGAGACCTTGCTACCAATCTAGTACTGCACTTATTCATAAAGTCTAGGTACCATAGAGGAAAGTGATATTTATTCTGTTTAATACAGAAATGTGGCACATGGCCGAAAAGGGGATTGGGGAAAGGACGGTCTTCTTCTGTCTTAACAATAACTTAGCTAGCTGCAAACACTGACTCAATTGTATGAACAATATTCCTTACACCAAAACAACACATTCATATATACCTTTCTTACTACAACCACCATAATACCTCTTTGTCTCTATGAAAATACTAACTAGTTTAAAATTACAATTCATTGTCTATGGGGGGAGGGGAATGCCATAGAGGAAAGTTCATCAGAATAATTACCATGATAATATTTATAGAAAAAGCACAGGAAAGACGTGTTATGGTGGTGAGAAAGTGACTTTTTATTAACTGTTTTTACTTACTCTACATATTCCTTTTGCATGGTTGGTAAATCCTGCACAGATCTTCTCTTGACTCACAACGCCAAAGTAGTGAGAGCATTCACTGTTGGACATAATTGGTAGACTCAATTCCTGAGCATATTTGGTTACACTGCCACCTGGAAGAAAAAAATGAATAAATGGTATAGGAAAAAAAAAAAAAACAACATAGGAAAAGTTAATTACAATAGGTCATCTCACAATCTAATGAATTAAAAAAAGAAACCTGTCACTAGCCAGCTATTCAAATAAACAAATGCAGATTAAAAACTAAAAGTTTAAAAGTAGACTTTGAAGTTGTCAATACTTGATTAACAAAAATAGAAACATTTAAATATTAAGAAATTTTAATATTTAATTAATTAATTTAAATAATCTGTGGGAACAGAATCTATGAAGATCAAGGAGCAATAAGTGGTTAGCTCTTTTTTGTTCTTTCTTTTTTTTTTTGCTATATTTTTGTATTCATCACTTTACAATGAGTAATAATTTTTTTTGCTTATAAATAAATGTCCATTTTTAAAACCATAATAAAAATTTATACCACTAAATGCAATCTGTGATTTTTAGTGCTCTTTCTTTAGTAGAATTTTTAATTCCCCCTTTTTTTGTCATTGTGCACATATTTATGCTTTGTCCTCAATTGAACTCTGAAGAGCAAGAAGCAATAACTGGGTAGCCTTTTTTTTTCTTGTTTGTTTTTTGTCATATTTTCAATTTACCACTTTACAATGAGTAATAATACTTTTTGCTTATCCATGCTCTTCCTCTTGCTTTGTTTTAATATATTTGTATATATTAATATGTACTTTTAAAAATGTCTATTTTTATCTGAATTAATTAAATGAAGCATTGGTTTTAATATTTCACTGGTTTTTCTTTTATTCTTTCTTTATTGCCTTTTATCACAAAATAGGTTCAGGTCATTTTTATATTCTATGACTGTTAAGTAAGCAACATGGATCAGAAATAAAGAAACTTTTGCTAGAAGTCTATTCTTTATTTGCAATACATTCTGCTTATTTAACAATCATAGAATGTAAAAAGGGACTTTAGCATTGTGATAAAAGTCAACAAAAAAAAGATGAATACTCAACCAATAAGAAGAAAATCCCTTCATTTATTTATATTATATACATGCAGACTATTGTCCTTGTTTTGTTGTTATTATCACAACATTTTGGTTGTTGTGACCTTAATCAGGTGTTTGTTGATCTGGGTAACCTTTAGGAAATTATGAATTGAACCTATTATTTAATCTACAAGGGCAGATTGTTTTCATTCTTTTGACCATGTCTAGTTCTTATTTAGAGCTGCTCAGTTCTTGCTTGCTCTGTTTACAGTGAGTCTAAGTTAGCACTACCTGACCCAGGGATTGAACTCAAAATTACTATGTTATCAAATTCATTAGTGAACAATTTAATTTCCTAGAGTGATCAGTCAAATTGCTTTCATCTAATTTAATGGCCATTTTCAAGGATTTTGGTTGTCCTATTGTAAATGTTATGTAAGTGCTATTGTAAAATAATTATGTAGGACATACCACCACTTGCTTATCAAGATGGCTGACTCTACATTTCTCAAAATATGGCTCCATATGTGCACTTTTAAACTAGCATGAAAATATACCAAATTCAATATGTAACATAATTGTTCAAAACACAAATGCATCACCAACTGCAAAATGTGTTAAAAAATAATTGAAGTTGTTATGAAAAAAATAACAAACCTAAATAACATCAACTATGAACATAGCCACAATGTACTATAGACATATTTGGAAATTAAAAATATATCTTCATTCCAGCTACTTTAAACTTTTTTTATAAGAGCACTAACAACATTTAAAATAGCACAAAAATAGCTAAGAGATGAATTGAGAGCACTCAGAACAAACAATAATTTGTGCAATTTCTAGATTCACTATGTTCCAAAAATAAATATCTTGTTTGCATACAAGAAAAATATAATAAAAAAACTTAACAGAAATGCCTTGTCAGTCATTTTAAATGAGATATATATATATTGTTCTATTATGTTTGATCATGAGGAAGCTTTGTATAGTGGCTTTAGTTTCGGGAGAAAATAAAGACAAAAACTGTCCAACATGTGGATATTTTTTATAATGCTGTTCCTCGATTTAAGATTTCGACTCACTTAAGCCATCATCAGAGTGGTTATATGGACATTATAACAGAGAGGTTCACCACCAATGACATCCTGTTATGTTTACATAAAAGTTTGCTATATGACGATATGTTTTGGAACTTTAGATTTGTTCCATTATCAAGCAATGTTTACTTTTGATGAAAAGGATTTACTTTTGAAAAAAGAATGGTACTTATTGAAGAGTTAAAAAGGAGTGGGGTGGAAACAAGATTTCAAAATTTTATGGGTATATCCTGTTTGATCAATTAAAAGACAGATCAAAGCTAAAGCAGAAAAGTGAAAAATATAGGTTGGCGGTAAGGGGGTGTGTGCGTTATTCATACCTGTCTAGATGAACTATCATTTTTAGATATGTTACCATTACTTCCAGTTAAGAATATAATTTTAAGATACAATGAAATAATCAGATATATATATATATATATATATATATATATATATATAAACAGATTAATTTTAGAATTAAAAATTCTCATTTTTTTAATATTTTCCATTTTACTGTGGGGGTTTTATTGATTTGTTTTAAATACCAAAAATATTTAGAGTGGGTTGTTTAGTTACAGTATCCATTATTATTAAAAGAATAAATATGTTGATTTAAAAGGGTTTTTGTGCTTCCAATATAAAATTTCTTAACATCTGGGTTTTCGGTAGATGAAAACCCAGATGTTAAAAAATTTTAAAATTTCAGGGAATTAGAATTATTTTTTTATATGTTGACATTTGAAGAGTTAGAGGCGATGGGAGTTGGGGAGTGTTCAAATGTCAGCATAAGAACAAATTCAAATTTCATAATATAGTTTTGCCTTAATTAGCCACCCAAAATCACTCCCTGACTCCCATATAAAAATAAAAAACAAAAACTAATTCTAATTTTGATAGTGGAATTTTGGCTTATTTAGCTACCCTAAGTTACTTCTCTCCCCCTCTAAAATCTTTTATACTATATTAATTATAATTTATAAACTTTCCTCTACTTAGAATATCTCCCTAACTCTCCTTCTGTTAATCCCTTATGGCTCTTTATCTATATATTTTTAAAATTTATTTTTGGGTTCATTTTTATTTTCTCCTTCAATTTCTTCTTTAATTTTAAATTTAAGTTAAAGTTTGTGTTCTCTTCTAATACCCCCATTTGTCATCATAAGGTTAATATTCTGTTTTTTTTTTAATAAAACTTCTCCCCTTTAAGATAGATACCTACCATCCTCCTTAGCCCACGTCTCATGCCTAGCATCCCACTGAAACGGTGAAAAGGGTAAACTCTGTATTAGGTGTTTTCGGCAAGATATGGTTTAGGTTGACCCTTTAGTTTCCAATATCAATTCCTCACGGTTAACTGCTACTTCTAACTTTACAGACATGAACTTCATGCCACACTGGGGTTGAAAAGACAGACGACCACTTTTGTCATCTGCCGAAATATCCTATTTCCAATATGAGGTAAAAGAATTTGTTTGATTATTAATTATATTGCTCTGTATAAATAAAATACATCGAGCATTTTTTGTGGATCAGTTTTAATATTTTTATATTACTAGGATCCACTTGGATTAAATATCAACAGATTTTTTACTATTATACTATATATATATATATATATATATATATATATATATATATATATAATTATTTATTTAAAAATATGATTCCAACATGCTACATAAGAGGTCTCATGTTTCAAAAAAAATAACAAAATACTAAAGAACTTTGGATTATTTACCTAACCAGTTCTTTCCTATTTTCTATATATTTTCACACACACACACACACACACACACACACACACACACACACACACACACACACACATATATATATAATCTTCTTACTCTGGAACCTTCCTAAACCTTCCTAAACAAGAGAATGAGGGCTTGTATGCAAGTGTAGGCATATGAACAAGTTTTTGTTTAGACATTTAGCCCCTGACCAAGATGAAAAAAAAATATATATGTGGAGATCTTATTTTATTCAATGAATATAAAATATGTGTGTGCAATAGAACTGACCATTTTTTAAGCACTCAGGATTGATTTATTGCTGAGAAAAATTTAGTTGCACATTTAGTATGATTCTCAAAAATATAATATTTACATTATATTTGACTGCCTGAAAAACATTGAGCATTGTATTAAAAAAGTTACTGTTAACCTGCATTTGACTGAATTATATTTCTGTTGAATGATTAATAGTCTATATTGTGTGTGTGTGTGTGTATATATATATATATATATATATATATATATATATATATATATGTATATACACACACACACCTTTGCACAGGCATATAATTTTTCTTGACAGACTATCTTACACATTTTTAAGTCTACCATTCATCTATACATTGAATATTGTTGCTACATCTGGTCTGGTGCTTCTACTATGTATTTAGTGATTCTTGATAAAATGCAAATAAGAATCTGCAATGTTATCAGTCCTGACTTGGCATTTCAGCTTCAGTCAATTGTTCTGATGAGCATTCCTTTTTTGATTTGCATTGGAGTTAGTTTTTTAAAAGTAGTAATTTTTATTCCCCCCCTACACCAACAGATTGTACATATAGGGACTAGTTAGGACTTTATAGAGAAACTTTTGTATCAAGGTGGCTATAGTAAGAATGGTAAGTAAGAATGTGTTGTTTTGGTGTAAGGAAAATTATAGTACATTCGGGTCTGTGATTGTGGCTAGCTGTATCTTACAGAATTAAATATGGCTTTCCATTTTGGTATCTTGACAAATTGTACTAGATTGGTAGTTAGGTCTCCTCATTTTACAGTTGAAATAACTAAATGTAATCATAAGTTCTATTCTAATAGTTTCTTCTCTCACACTTCTCACTTGTCAAACTCTCTTCTGGATTCTTGCTTCCCAGTCAACTTTGATCTTCAAAAATTTAAATGCAATATCAATCATTATCTTCTATATTCTTAATTCCTGTTCTTCTATTGTTCTCTCTCCTTAATGCTTTTCTTTTTCTCTTATTCTTTCACAGTAAACCATTGTGTCTTAGTGGCTTTATTGCCTTGCATTGGGAGAAATGATAAAAAATAAATAAAAAGAAACATCTGGTCTATTTTATGAATTTTGGACAAATTCAAATATAATGTTTGATTATGTATCACTATTTGTGTTTCAAGAGTCATTTACAATTTACAGATTTTATCCATGTTATGATCCTGCATTAAGAAAGGTTGAAAATTATATCTAAAATATGAGGTCAACAAAAAAAAATTTGCAAGATATTTTTTGTTACTTACCACCTTGAGTGCAACCCCAACCCTTCATCATACACATGGTCCCTGCCTCAGGAAAAAGGATATCCTCCTTTTCGGCTAAAGGCACTGGTTGAATGGTTGATATAATTTCAGTAGGAACTGGGTGTGCCAGTTTTAACAGTGCAATATCATCGTGAAAATCTGTTAAAGTTATAAGAAAAATTATGGTAATAATTTATTGGACATTTTAATACTTTCGGTCAGCAAATATGAAAGAATAATTTTTAATAAACTGTTAAAATTTTCTTTTTCAGTTTTCTCCTGAGTGTGATGGATTTTATTAGATACTAGCAGTAGAGCCCAGCGTTGCTCGGGGATGTAACAGTAAGAGATAGATCAAGTATCGACCATCATAAAGACTGAAAAATAAAATTATCAAAGATTATTGTTTAAGGTTGACGGACACGCATGTCTTAATTAGTTTTTTTTTTTTTACAAATTGGTCAAACCCAAATTCAAACAAAACATTGTTTACAATCGTTATGAGTCTATCGATTGGTGAATAGAATTTTATTATAAACAATTGTCTTGTAAATGGAATTTTAAAGCATTCTGAATGTAAAAAAAAAAAAAGTGTGCAAGACAATAAGAAATACTACCTGCCGAAAAAAAAAGTGGATGTTTGTTTTATCGGCTGAAAATGTAAGAAATCCGATCCCATATATAAAGGAAACACACACACAGACACATAAACAACCTGGGTTTTTTAACCTAAGTCACTCCACGGAATCGCTAAAACATAGAGCATAGTCTGATGAAAAAGACGCCAAAGTTTATGAAAACAAAATTTTATCGTCAAAATGCTTTTATGAAGAGGATAGACTAAATTTTTTTTAATTATTTTTTAAAAATTTTTCCATCTTTTTAGAATATTCTAAATTTTGATTTAAAAAACCTTGTTTCTCTTTGTCGCAACACACATTAATTTGGAAAATCTTGCAAAAATAAAAATAATTGTCAGATGTTAATGAAACTTTCAGAAACTATTCACAGATGATCGAAATTATTATAAATATGTTTTTTTTTTTTTATTAAAGTCATGGCAGAAAATTTTTTTTATATTTATTAACACCACCATAACTAATTTTATGAAAAACTCTAGAAATTGAGACCATCGGTTTTAGTGATTACAATAGTTAAAAGCACAAGGCTTTGAAGAATGCAAATCATGTTTTTTTTTTTTTTTTTTTTGGCCGATGTACCTGAAAATCAGCTGTGAATTGTAACATACAAAAACTCAATAAAACAAATATATTATTTAGTTTCAAATGCTTTTATTTGTTTTAATTTGTTTTTATGAATATGGACAATATTTTCTGAAAGCAAAAAAAAATTTTTTCAATGAAAATTGAATTTTAATACAATTATTTCTTATTTCTTTAATTTTAAAAAAGATTTTTTAAAAATGTTTAAATTGAATTTAAAAAATATTTTAACATTAGTTAAAAGAAACATCAACCTTTCAAAATATCCGTGTGAGATTGTCATTGTCTAGCACTTTGAAAATTGTATAATTTGGACCAATCAGATTAGCCATGGTAATTAAGAAATGTAATTTTTGTGTTTATAGTTGGACAGTAATTATCAAGTACAGAAGACCAACCAGAATACAATTTAGTTGCATTATTTGAGTTCAGCATTGTTCTCGCTGTTAATCCCTTTACTTTTGCTAGAAACACGTATGGAGAAGTTAATTTGAGTTTTCAATTTCAACTGAGAAGGGTACCTACAAGTAACAGTATCATCTTATGAAATTTAACTACTGCTAAACTTTAATTTATATGATCTTATTTTTTATATTAATCTCAGTTATGACATTTTTCCATAAATGAAATATCAAAATTAATAATAAAATGAATGGAAATACAAATAACACAGTAAAATGTAATAAATGTACATAAAATTATAGTATTTATGTACACTTCTGATAAAATTTCATAAGAAAGGTACCTAAATTAATTAGATACCTTTTTTCTTATGAAATTTAATCTCACTATTAACAGTCTTATTTTTTTAATTTCTTTATATTTTCCATAAAGCATCGTAAAACGTAAAAATGAAAGCTAAGTACAAAACAAAAAAAAAAAAAAAAATTAGAGCGCTGAAAGTTTTCCTTAAAAGTAACAAGGTAAATAATTTGTTCACTTAAATAATTTCACTTCCTTCCATTCGTAGAAAGAATTCTCCTCCCGTAAGTTATCTAAACGTCATGAATGTGCCTTTCGTCAATCGTCGTTTAACGCGAAAGGTTATGACCTGCTTTGTTTTATTTTCAAATTACATTTTTTCAGTGCAGAAGCTAAGTTAAGCTTGGTTCAAAATATTTTAAATAAACAGTATAATTTCTGTTTTTATTAAAATCAGTTTTGAAAAAATGATAATTGATTTTTAAAAGAATATCAAAGTAAGATTTTAATCTTTTTTATCAAATCGAAAAAAATGATTGAAAATGATTATCTGTCCTTTTTTTTTTGACCAAAAAAACAATATTTTAACGTAAATTTCAGACGTGCTAGGAACGATTAAAAATGTAAAAAAATACCCCCAAAATACTTTGATCTTTCCTCTTTAATAATAATATGAACATTAGACGATAAAATTTTGTTTTCGTCAAGTTCGGCGTCTTTTTTCATCATGCTATGCTCTTTTGTTTACATTTTTCGTGGGTGAGTTGTCCCCTTTCATTCTCACGATGTGTCTTAATCGTGTTTTCAAATTGATTTTATTAAAAAAAACAACTGTGTTTTTCCCATTTTCGGCCCCATTAGAACCACCACAAGGTAATTTTATGTAGTCCTGTGAAGTTTTGTTGAAATCGGCTAAAAAATGTAGGAAATTCGATCCAACATATAAACGTTACAGACACACACACACACACACACACAATCTGCGTTTTATAATAAGTAAGATTTTGTACTTTAGAATTTTATTTTATTTTGGGACTGGTCTACAATAAATATTTTGCTTTTTGAAATATAGTGAATAACAATCATCTGAAAGTTGCTGGCAAATTTCACAATGAAGATGTTTCATTAATTAACTCTCACTGCTTAAATTAATAAATTCTTTTAAATAAATGAACCAAGTGAACAAAAGTTTACTTATGTATAAAAATAAACCTCACTTTATTTATGTATAAAAATAAACCTCACTTTATTTATGTATAAAAATAAACCTCACTTTATTTATGTATAAAAATAAACCTCACTTTATTTTAGTTGATATTTAGAGAGGTCAAAACAATGCACAAAATCTATATAAATATATATTTTATAAGTAAAAGCTAAAACAATTTATATTAATTACAGTTTTAGTTTCGTGTTTTATTGTTAAAAACAAACCAAAAAGCATAGCCAACTATTTACTATTGATAGATGTTTTATATTATCATCAAGATTTGTTGGATTGGTCAAATTTGACATGAAGATGGATTTTTTGAGCACTTAAGAGACTTTAAATGACTTGCAAAGCCAGCACAGTCACCATTGTACTATCTATCTATCTATCTATCTATCTATGTTTTTATTTTGATCTATCTATCTTGGTTTCTTGTCTGATTTGGTTTGTTTATCTATCTATCTATCTATCTATCTATCTATCTATCTGGTCTGATATATTTATCTTGGTTCTTGAGTCAACAAATATTAAATGTAAGGGTTTGCTTACATTTGCACATCTTAATTTTTAATTAATATTTTAATTACAGCTTCATAAACTTTTTGAAAATGATTGTAATTCATTTAATAAAGGTTTTCTTAGTGAATATATAGTTTAACTTTGATTTGTTGATTACCTGGAAAAAAAGAGACAATTTTTTTAATACTATCTTAAGCATTCATTTACTTTTGTGCAGCATTGTGTGTGTGTGTGTATATATATATATATATGTATGTATGTATGTAAAAATTCAGTTATAAATAAAATATGAATAAAGACAAAAGGATAACTATCTTTACCAATGAGTTTTGTCACCCAAGGGACTTTATCAAGATAAATATAAGGATTTTATTTTGCAACTTCTGTTTATAAATACATGTTGCAAAATAAAATTCTTGCATTTACCTTGATAAAGTCCCTTGGGTGATGAAAAACGTTGGCAAAGAAAAGTTTTTCTTTTATGATAACAAATATAGTTTTAAGTTACAGTATATTTATGGGTGAAAGTGATCAATATCAAGGAAAGACCATGTGTAAATATAATTGTGGGCACTGAGGTCAATACCAGGTGGACATATATATATATATATATATGTGAAGTTTTTGAAACTTTAATAGTTAATAAAATTAAAAATGAGATATTTGTGTATATAAAATAAATACTATTTTACATTTATTTTAATATTTCCCTATATACACATCTTGTTGATAGTACACAGTTATTTATTTTATTCACAAATATTTATTTTTAGCCAAGAGTAAATCATTATATATCCCTCTTATCCTCATAATTATTTCTTACCACCTTCTCTTCCATCCATATTACCTATCTCATTCATCATTACCATTTTGATTGTAATACTCTACCATGAGTGGGTGAAATTTAGTTAAAAACAAAGAAAGACATGTATTCCTTTCCAATCACTAAGTCAATTTATGTGTTGTTATTGTTATGGAGCTGTTGAGAACTAAAAAGGATGTACAGTAGAGGAAAATTGATTTCAAACCTTGTTAAAGAATCTTTTTTTTTTTCTCAAATGTCATTCTAATCCAACTTTAATGAATCTACAGGAGACAAGCTGCAAAGTCATGTGATTTCAAATATGTATATAAATTTTATTTTTTTAGATATTCAGGAAAAATTGAAGAATTGTGACTGTTGGTAAGTACCTATTTGATGAGTCTCTAAAAATGTCCATCTTACAAAATGGCACCTAAAGAAGATTCCATTAAAATGATGTGATAATTTTCTTTTGTTCATTGTTCTTTTTTTTTGACTAGCAAGGAAGTGTTTTTCCTGTCCCTGCTTTTCACACCACTTTTCAAGTACTTCTCCCTCTACACACACACACACACACACACACACACACACACACAGACCTGTGTGTGTGTGTGTGTGTATCTGTATAGTACAAAATCTGATATTAACTGAATTATGATTTGAAATTTTCACTGCATAATTATATAATTGATATTCATTGACA